TATATATGCCTATGGTTTTTCCCTTTTCTATCATTTAGAACTTCTGAACAAATATTTCATGTTGGAAATTCAGAAACCCAGAAACGCTGTCCTTCTGTCCATCTGCTGTTTCTTGCTGAGAGAAACACCAGTGGGGAAAGACCTGCTGTTTCTTTGCCCAGGGGCCTAGGCTTCCCCCGCCTTCACCTAACACCACTGTTTACAGGCTCTGTCAGTACTGTAAGCTTTACTTCTTAGTGTGTTTAATCAGTATGTCATTTCCTGCAGTTTCTTGGTCATTACTAATGACTCATTGCCTTTGGCTTCCGCACAACAACTCGTTTGACCCCTTGATTTTCTCTCCCTTTCCTTTGTGTCCCCTTCCTTTCCCTCTCATTGTCTTTGTCTACATTCATTTTCTTCTTCCCCTGTCTAGTTCGCAGATATCAGAGGAAACATTTGCATTCTTATGTCCAGTGCAGCGTTATTCACAACAGCTATGACGGTGAAAAAACCTGAGCGCTCATCGGTGGATGAATGGATAAAGAAAATGTGTAGTGTGTGTGAGAACACATGACATGAGATGGAGAACCACAGTGTGTGTTTAAACTTTTTAAAAACATTACAGTAAAAGATATTTTGCCATTAATCTCCCTCAGAATACTCCCCCTCACTTCAAACACAGTTGTGTGTTCAGTTGTGTTGCTGTGGACGCCTCAGTGTCCTGAATGGATTCTAAATGTTTACCTTTCATGCTCAATTTGACTTTGGGGAAGAGGCAGGAGTTGCACGGAGCCAGATCCAATGTTTTTAGCAGCCCGCCTTTCCACAGGATGGCCCTCAGCAACACTGGTCACTGTATTTTGTTTTTTATCACACCTCATAAAGACACTCATGCAAGAGGACTTCCAGAACTGCTTCAGAAAGTGGCAAGAACAATGGGATAAGTGTGTTTGAAGCAAGGGGAAGTAATTTGAGGAGATTAATGGCAATATGTTTTAAACTGTAATAATTTTAAAAATTTAAACATAATCATATTTTCCCATGACTCCATATACATATGTACATATATGCACACACAATGGAATATTATTCAGAATGAAAAAAAAAAGAAATTCTGTTATTTGCAACCACGCAGATGAACCCAGGACATTTTACTAAATGTAAGAGGCCAGGCACAGAAACACAAACACAGTGACCTCACTCACCTGTGAAGAAAGGGGAACTCTAGAAGCAGAAAGTAGGAAGGGTGATTTCCAGGGAATGGGGACATGGGGAAAAGGGAGATGTTGGTCTGAGTTTTAGTTAGAGAAGCTGAGTAAGTTCTGGAGAACTACTGTATAGCATGATGACTATACTCCATAATAATGTACTGTATACCTGAAAGTTGCTAAGAAAGTCGATTTTAAATGCTCTCACAACGAGAATGATAATTACTGGTTTGACAGATATGTGGGGTAGCTCAATTTAATTATCCCACAATATATAAATACATGAAAACATCACACGGCACCCCAAACTCACATACAATTATTATTCAATAAAATTGAATAACAGTCACAGCTTAATGGAACAAATTCTAGGAAGCCAGTAAATGCGCGGAAACCCCCAGTGAGGGTGCAAATGGCCTGCCCCTCCCACGGTTCCTAGCCCTCTTGATGAGCACCTCTAGGGTGGCTTTCGCTAGGTGAGCACCTCGACAGCAGGGTAGTGAAAGAATGCAGAAAAATGCCTTCTAAGCACCCTTTAGCTCATATTACGTATGACTAAGTGGCTAATTGTGGAGAAGGGCATTCTATAGTTACTCTTGCAATGTATTACCTCAGGCCTGACCAAGCCATATGATCTCTCGGTTCTGGAGGAAGTCTAGCAAAAGCATTGGTGGAAAGGAAACGATTGAAGCACCTGTGTCCCTGTGGAAAGCCGCGGGGTCAACACTAGATGCTTTGCTCAATAATTTGCTTCGGTATGCCCGAAGGAATGATAACACGATGGCTAACTAGTCAAGTCTTATTTCTGTGGTAATGGAGTTGTGTTGTCCTTGCTGAACCTGTTGATATCCTCCCATTTGTACTAGCTGCATCCTTTGTTCTCTCTCAATAAAAGGTGACTGAAAATGGTAATCGGGCTTCAGTCCAAGAGGCTGTTAGCCTCCGATCCCAGAATTTTGCCTGTCTTGTTTTTCTTTTTTCTCTTGCTTCTCTATTCATCCACAGGTACCTTGTTCTTGGGACCGGTTCACCATGGACAGCAACGGATTATAGAACGACAGCTAATGCTAACATTTTTAATGAAATTGCAACAGGAAGGTCAGTCATAACTGCAAAAAAAAAAAAGCACAACAACCACGCATAATGTTTTTTCTTTCCTGACACAAACTTAAAATAAGCAGTGTCCTTTTACTGAAAACACTTCGACAGAAGTATTAATGTGTTTTGTCATTGCCAAGCCCTGAACAACATCTGTATTTTCATAGTCAAGAAGATCACTGTTAACAGGGGGAAAAGAGCCTAGAAACATTTTCACAGTTCTGACTCCGAGTATATCTCACCTCTCTGAAAAAGGATTTCAGCTTCCACCTCGCATTCCTCTACAGCCGCTATCTTGCAGAGTTTCCAGGCCGTCTCAAAAAGATGAAGAGCTGGTACCCACTTGGAGGAATCCTTCCTTTTATTGCTACAATATGCTTTCTTGGCCAGGGTATGTCCTAAAGAAAAATGGTTGGGTGGGAGCAAAACAATAAAATAAACAGTGGTCACAGCAAGCTTGCAGGTCACCAGACTCCTCTCAGCAATGAATGGTATCCATTAAGAACTCTAGTGGTCTTCAGTTTTTAGCACCCCAGAAAGGTTTTAAAGAAACACAATAGTCAATGTTTTGGTGAACTACAACAATAACTCTATTTTTGGTAAATCTCCAACACATTTTCTTGTTTCTAATATGAGAGATAAACTCCCAAGTCACTTTCAGCTCTAAAATTTCATGGCACTCTTCAAAACAACTTCCAGATTCCTAAAGTGGGATTATTAGTAGGAAACATCTAGAATTTTATGCTGCTTTCAGTAAAATTTACACATATTAATACACAGTAATTTTCATTCTATTGAATACTACAGTGGTTGTTTGCTGTATATTTCTTTTCAATCCCAAGCTGACAGTAAACCCATTATGGACGAGGGCTGCAGGCTATACTTCTGATACAGATCTAGCATCACTTAACGAAAGGAAGGACCGTTGGACGGAAGAAGCACTTTTCTTAATCTACCTGCTTCAAAGACAGATATACATTTATTCCACAAACATTTTCTACGTGCTTAGGCATACAATGAAAACGAGAGAGGCGAATGATAAAAGCAAAGATGCCAGGAACCATCTCATGTACTTAACATGCGTTACTCTTGTGACGCTCCCAGCTCCAAGTGGGTACCATTATTTTGCTTGTTTGACAGAAAACAAATAGTGGCTCTGAGGGTAATTTTAAGCAAGAGCTCCAAGTTCCCATGGCTAGTGAATAGCAGAGCCATAATTTCGACCTAATCAGTCTGAGTCTACATCCACTCCTCCTAAACTACAACATTGCATAGACCCTAAAAGCAAGGACATGGAGCCTAGTGGTTCATAGAGAAGATGAACATCCAGATGGGTAATAAAAATAGTGCATGGCTGATTGTGTGGCAAGGAAAATAAAGTGTGCTGTGATGTCAGGGGACGGGAGCCCTGGGCCATATCTGAGGAAGGTCAGGGAAAGCTTCCCCCAGCATGGTGTTCAGGCAGACAGCTGATGACTGGCTCGTCATCAGTAATTTCAAAGAGAAAAATAAAACTTTGAGTAAAGAGTAGAAGAAAAGAGGGGAAAATGTTATATTGCTGAGATATCCGGGGACATACAAGCAATATAGAAAGAAAGGCAGTGTAGGATTGCAGAATACAGATGCTTGGTTCAAGCTGAAATGGTGGGTCCCGGCCAGTCACTGAAGCTGCCATGCCATTTGAGGCCTTGAACAACTCCCTAGGTGACCCTCAGGCTCGAATGTCTTCCTCTAAACAATGAGAATTACAAAATACCTGGGGTCCCTTTGGTTCTGGAATTTTTCAGTTTCAAATACCATACCCTACAAAGAGTTAAAAAAAGAACACTTTTTATAAATCCTCGCTTCAGAAACGTGCCATATGGATGACAGGATGTGAAGAACGTCACCCTCTCTTGCCTTCTCCCTCTCTCCTCCCCCCAACCTTCCCCACCCCCACCAGAGAGAAGTACTCTAAACCAGGAAGGGGCAGCACATTGCTGAGACTCTTGAGTGGAAGCTGCTGATTTCCTGCTCCCAGCGGCTCCCCAGAGAGAGAAGAGCTCAGTCAGGGCACAGTGAGAAGAGCTAACATCTACAGCGCTCTGCACCTCTGCAGGCTGGGAGCCTTCGCAGCACGCATTTCACTCTCCACTCACCCAGTCCCACAACAAGCCAGTGCCATTGCTACTTCACCATGTGCAACAGAGGACACAGAAACACAGGCAAGTTAAGTGATTTGTGTAAGAGAAATGCATAAGAATTCTCTCTCTGAGTCCATACTCTTAATCCCAATAATTACCAATTGTGATTAACGCCCAGGCAAGAAGGGAAATAAAAGAAAGTTATGCTATTACTACTTCTCCAGTACGACTTCCTGTTTCAACACACTTTCATTTTTAAATCTTTCAGTTATTATTTCAAAATATACCATAGCTGGGTTTTTTTGCTTTTGTTTTCGTTTGTCTTGTTTTTGGTGTCAGAAATCGAACATAGGACCTTGCACTTGCCAGGCAGGCGCTGTAACCGCTGAGCTATGTCCCTGGCTCAATAGCTGTTTATTTATAGAAGACAAAAATAGCAAATATCTTCATATCACTGCTGTGCATTTATATATAGGCACATATGATATATATTAGTACTACAAAAGATAGTACCAATGTATAATAATAGTATTTGAATTATCCTTCAGATTTGTGTTAAAATTAGAATTGTTACAGATAAATTATTGATTATTTTATCTCTCCTCACCAACTAGATGATAGGCTCTGACCTGGTTTGATGGCAGACATGGCACATGGCTCCCAACTACACTCCCATTCCCCAGTATCATTTTTACAATAAGTGATCTTCAACAAATATTTGCTGATGGAAAGAATGTAAGAAATGTCTTCCCTTCTATTTGCAAGCTGTAATTTACTTTTCCATCTAAAAAGGGTAGCTCAAGGTAAGGTAATTAATGGGAAAATAAATAACCAAGGTTCTTATTTTTACCTTATAAAAATAATATCAATATGCCATTTGCCATCAGAGGCTTTGGCAAGAAAAAAAATTTAAGCAGTGTTGTTCTTGTGAGGCAATGTATACTATACAGAAAAACTGTCAAGAATTCAAGTTACAGATGAGTTTGTGCTTCATAATATTAAAATGTTCCTTCCCGCAGTAAACATCAGCTCTGTGAAAACGAAGTCGTGAAACTAACATTGCTTTGACAGAAAGGCTGCTTTTGGGTTTGTTTTTAAAGTCTGTATTTAATATAATATACCAGAAAGCAAGCTGTTCAGCTTCAAATGAGTCTGAAAAACAGCAACAGTACTGTCATTGAGTGGTGACACATCATCAAGAGTAGTAAGTCAGAGAAACAGAGAACGCATTTGATTTTACACAATCTGTACTTTAAGCTCATGTAGAAATCAAATGTCCTGCTAATAGAGAAATTGTGGACTAAAAATACAGAAAAAGTAGCTCTGACAAGATGAGTGAGCTGGAAGAAATCTGAGAGGCCAGATGAGCAAAGCTAACTTCATAAATGAGGAAACAATAGAATGGAGAGGTAATGAAATTCATATCTAATAATGCTAATCATTGTTCTGGTTTATATCTCAATGTCCCCCTAAATCTCATGCACTCATAGGAGGGCTTTTGGGAGGTGACTGGCTCATGGGGATGTGATACTCATCATATGGATTAGTCCACTGATGACCTAACACCTAATGTGATGTTGGAAGATGAAGCCTGATTGGAGGAGGTGGGTCATTGGGGAGTGGCTATCTCCCCTCCTCCTCTCTGGATCTCTCTCTGCTTCCTGCCGGCCATGCCATGAGCAATTCTCCTCCGCACTGCCCCTCTGCTGTGCTGGAGCCAGCTCCAAGCCGGCCAACTATGGAATGAAATCTCTCAAACTGTGAGCCAAAATAAACCTTTACCTTAAACTGTGAGTGTTGGGTATCGTGTCTCAGCAACAAGATAGTAACAAAGACAATCATATAATAACAAGGAAATGTATTAATAATGAAAGGTGGCTGCAGAAGGGAGATAAGGGGAAGATACAGGACAGGTGATGGCTTGAAGGTATTCTTGCTGTCCTCCTTTTCACAAGCCAACCCCACACCATGACCTCTCCCTGGCTGAGCAGCTGCTGGTAAAGGAAGCAGGAGGGTCCTAGAACATGGTGGGTAAGAACACAGCTGTAGCAAACCTTTCTGTACTCTGAGCTGGGCATGAGCCTGACAGATGCAGGAAGCCTTGGGTTCCAGACCACAGACAGTGTCCTGGAGACAGTTTGAAAAGATGTCTGTAAGTCTCAGAGAAGGGCAGCTCTGCCTGCCTGCCTCCTTGGTTTTCCCAGGAGCAGTGAGGCCAACTGACAATGACCAGGGTCCTCTCAACTAAGGAGCTCAAGAATGGAGCCTTTGTTATTTCCTTGGGTGCCTCAACAGGGAATTAAACTCTTGAAGGTCGGTACAAAGTCAACCAACAGAGGCAGAACTAGCTCTTCGGACCATCGTTTGCTGCACCATCACACTGAAATTAATCCAAGAGCTGTACCTGAACCACAATAAACAGACAAAGGGAAAAGTCCAGCACAGAGCAGCCAGCAGCCAGCAAGAGGAAAAACAAGCAACAAGACGAAGAACAAACTGATGAAGGAGCCAATGACAACTTGATGTAAAAAGAATACTTCTAGAGATTGCCTTGGTCACGTTCCTTGTCACAGAGACACAATACCTGACACCCCAACTGTAACGGAGGGGAGGTTATTTTGGCTCACATTTCAGCCCATGATGGGCCACCTCCAAAGAAGAAACAGCAAGGCAGGAGGGCTCAGCAGAGGAAAGCCCCCAGGTCATGGCAGCCAAGAAGCGGAGAGAGAGGCGAGCAGCTGGGAAGGAAGAGACGTCCTACCTGGGCTCACCTCCACTGACCTGCCTCTTCTGGCCAGGCCTCAGCTCCTAACACCCCATTTAGCTACGGCACCCCTGTGGTCCAATCGCCTTCTCCAGACCCCACCTTTGAGCACGTGAGGCTTTGCAGGGATATCTAGTAAAAACCGTAACAGAGATACAAAGTTAACAGAGGATTTTTGAGAAGACAGTCAACGCTGAAATCAGAATTAATGATTAGAAAGATCGAGAAGAAACGCAAGTAGCTTAAATCATCAATGACAGAAATAAAAGGGGGCTGGGGATTTAGCTCAGCGGCAAAGCGCCTGCCTGGCAAGCGCAAGGTCGTGAGTTCGGTTCCCGGTACCGGAGAAAAACCAAAAA